AAAAAAAAAAAAAAAAAACCTTACAGGATGCAATAAAAGCAGTGATCAGAGAGAAATTTATATTGGTAAATGCCCACATTTAAAAAAGAAGAAATAGCTGAAATCAATAACCTTGCTTTACAACTTGACGCAGAAAAAGAAGAATAAACTAAGCCCAAAGCTACCAGAAGAAAGGAAACGACAAAGATCAGAATGGAGAAAAATTAAATAGAGAACAACAACAACAACAAAATAGAATCAACAAAACCAGAAGTTGTTTTTTCATTTTTAAAAATCACTAATACTGATAATCTTTAGCTACAAAGACAAACAAAAGAGAGAGAAGATGCAAATAACTGATAATAGAAATGAGATTGGGAACATTATTATCAACCCTGCAGAAATAAAAAAAGACCATAAATGAATATTCTGAACACATGTATGCCAACAAAGCACGTAACTTAGATGAAAAATGGACAAATTCTTAGAAACATATAAAATAACTAAATTGATTCAAGAAGAAACAGAAAATCTCAACAGATCTACAAGTGAAGAGACTGAATCAGCAATCAAAAACCTCCAAAAACAGCAAACTTCATGACTCACTGCAAATGGATTCATTGGGGAATTCTACCAAACATTTTAAGAAGAATTGACACTAATTATTCTCAAAGTAATTCAAAATACAGAAGAGGAGGGAACACTGCCTAACTTATCCTATGTTACCAGTATTACCCTAGTACCAAAACCAAAGAACATCATAAAAAGAAAATTACAGAACAACATCACTTAAGAATATTGTTGTTGTTGCCATTAGGTGTCATCGAGTCAGCTCCAACAAATAATGAGTCTATGTACAACAAAACGAAACACTGCCCAGTCTTGTGCCAGTCTCACAATCCTTGCTACACCTGAACTCATCATTGTAGCCACTGTGTCAATCCATCTCATGGAGGGTCTTCCCCTTTTTCACTGACCCTCCACTTTACTAAGCGTGGCATTCTTCTCCACGGATTGGTCCATTCTGACAACATGTCCAAAATAGGTGCGATGAAATCTGGCCATTCTCCCTTCCAAGCAGCATTCCAGATGCACTTCTTCTAGGATAGATTTGTTAGTTCTTCTGGCTGTCCATGGTATTTTCAGCATTCTTCTCCAACACCACAACTCAAAAGCATTAATTCTTCTTCGGTCTTCCTTATTCATTGTCCAGCTTTCATATCAGGTGATTGAAATACCATGGCTTGGGTTAGACGCACCTTTAGACTTGGGAATACAGATGCACAAAAAAATATATTCTTCATCTACAAAAAAAATTCTATTTTTTTGCATCTAACTGATGAATGTTGTTGTTGTTGTTATTTGCCATCGAGTCGGCCCCAACTCATAGTGACCCCTCCTTGGGTTTCCAAGGCAGTATCACTACAGAAGTAGGAATGCCCAAACTTCTTTCCGAGGAGTGGCTGGTGGGTTTGAACCGCCAGCCTTCTGGTTAGCAGTCAAGTGCCTGATGAATATAGATGCAAAATATCGTCAACAAAATACTAGCAAACCAAATCTAATAGCAAATTAACAGATTATGTTAAACCATGACTAAATGAGATGTAGGGAGCTCTGGTGGTGTATTGTCTAAGGCATTTGACTGCTAACCAGGAGGCTAGGGGTTCAAACCCACCAGTCCCTCCTCAGAAGGAAAATTAGGTGATCTACTTCCGTAGTGATACCACCTTGGAAACCCAAGGAGGGGTCGCTATGAGTCAGATTCACCTCGAAGGCAGTAAGTTTTTTTTTTTTTTGGAAGTGAGATGTATTTCAGGAATGTGGAGTGGTTTACCATGAACAAATCACTCAATGTAACAAACTACATTAATAGAACAAAAGAAAAGAACCACATGATCATCTTGATTGATGAATAAAAGGCATTTGACAAGACCCAACACCTTTGTATGATAAAAACACTCAATATCAGAATAAAAGGGAAATCCCAATATAAAAAAGAGATAACATCATACTTAATGGAGAAAGACTGAAAACATTTCCTCTAAGATCAGGAACAAGAGAAGGATGCCGACTTTCAGCACTAATGTTCAACAATGTACTAGAAGTACTAACCAGAGCAATTAGGCAAGAAATAAATTAAAAGCATCCAAATTGGGAAGAAACAAGTAGAACTATCCTTTTTTCAAATGTCTTGATCTAATATATAGAAGAACCCTAAGAATACATAAGAAAGCTAACTAGAGCTAATAAATTCAGCAAAGTGGTAGGATATATGGTCAACACACAAAAATCAGTCAGAATGCAATAAGCATTCTGAAAAGGAAATTAAGGAAACAACTCCATTTACATTAGCATACAAAAGGATAAACCAAAAAACCAAAGTAATTGTAATTGAGTCAATTCCGATTCACAGCAACCCCCTTTGGGTTTCTGAGGTCATAAATCTTTACGGAAGTAGATTGCCCAGTCCTCCTTCCGCAGAGTGGCTGGTGGGTTTGAACTGCCAACCTTCTGGTTAGCAGTCAAATGCCTTACGCACTACACCACCAGAGCTACTTAAAAGGATAAAATGCTTAGGAATAAATTTCACCAGGGAAGTGAAAGATTAGTACACTGAAAACTACACAACTTTGCTGAAAGAAATGAAAGAAGATCTCAATAAACAGAAAGCCATTACATGATAAAGGACTAGAAGACTTAGTATTGTTTAGATGTATTAGAATAGATTTTATGCATTGAACACCAATGACTGAAAACCAGAAAAACTGTGGGATGACATCAAGAACATCATCCATAAAGAAAGCAAGAGATCATTAAAAAGACAAGAAAGGAAGAAAAGACCAAAAGAGATGTCAGAAAAGACTCTGAAACTTGCCTTGAACAGAGAGTAGCTAAAGCAAATGGAAGAATCGACAGAATAAAAGAGCTGAGCAGAAGATTTCAAAGAGGAGCTTGAGGAGACAAAATCAATTATTATAATGAAATGTGCAAAGACCTGGAGACAGAAAACCAGAAAGTAAGAACACGCTCTGCATTTCTCAAGCTGAAAGAACTGAGGAAAAAAATTAAGCTTCGAGTTGCAATACTGAAAGTTCTATGGACAATATATTGAATGATGCAGGAAACATCAAAAGAAGATGGATGGAACACATAGTAATTATACCAAAAACAATTGGTAGATGTTCATCATTTTCAGGAGGTGGCATATGATCAAGAACCAATGGTACTGAAGGAAGAAGTCAAAGCTGCACTGAAGGAACTGGCGAAAAACAAAGCTCTGGGAATTCAATTTAAATACTCATTGTGATGTTTCAACAAATGGATGCTGCACTGGAGGGACTCATTCAGCTATGCCAAGAGGTGCCCATTCCAAAGAAAGGTTATCCCACAGAATGTGGAAATTATCAAACAATATCATTGATACCACACACAAGTAAAGTCTTACTGAAGATAATTCAAAAACTGTTGCAGCAGCATATTGACAGAGAATGTCCATTCTAAGGGCTTTACTTCTACTAAATTCTTTAATACTCACAACAATCCTATGAGATAGGTACTATTATAATCCCCATTTTACATACAGGGAAATGAGGGCCACAAAGATTAAGTGACTTTCCCAGGATTACACAGCAGTATCTCTGTGCTATGCATACTGCTTCTCTATACTTTTATCTAGAAAACCAGAAAGTTAACAGCCTACAAACATCATCCAACAAAACGGATAACGCTAAAACCAACCATCTGTTTCTTAGGGATCATGTTTTACTTCATTTTCACTCAGAATGAGAAATCAACTAAATTTAGGGAAAGTAAGTTTTATGTTTTTAGAATTCAAAAAGTTAGTATCATGAATGTTTCATGTACTGACTATAACACCCCAATACCCTTCGTTATTGCAATTGGTTTAAACTATGTTAAATACATATATATTGCAGTGCAGTGAATTGCTTACAGCCATAGGCCTCCATTTTGTGATGTATTGTAAATCCTAAATCTCTTATGCCTGTTTAGGGAGGGATGTATCTTGAATTCTACCTTGCTGGAGAGTGACTAAAGAAACTGCCCTTAGTGGTTGAGGGTACATATGTGAATTTTCTGGGAAAGTTCTCTCTTGCTCTGGATCCTACATTTGGTTCATCATCATCTCACCCCTGGACTTTAGACAACAGCTAGTTGTCTGACCTGTCAATTTGGGTTTGTCAGCTTCTACAACCATGTGAGTGAGGAGAATCCTCCAGACCTATGCCTGACCCACAGACTTCGGACTTGCCAGTCTCCTAGCCTCCACCATCACATGAGCCGTATCTTTGGTAGTTTGTGAATTCTATGAGATGTTACAGCAAAACATGGAACCTAAGATGAGAAGGAAATACTGAGGAGAGGAGTCGATGTTAGAGATGATGGAGTGGTACAGCAGTCTGGAAAAGTTGGACATTTGGGACACCTTTAACCTCTACTCCACAGGGACCAGCCTTGTGCTGATCCTTCTAAAAGAAACTACTGAACTTATTTAATGTTACAAATGATATTAGAAAAGGTAGCGGTTAATAATGTAGACCGTGCTATACATGTTTCTCTGAAATAGTACAGATAAAACAGTACAGTATAAAATTGGTTAGCTCTTGACTATTTATTTCCTAAGGAAGAATTTGTACTGTGGTAAAAAGAAAATTGTTCTGGATATACTAATGACACGTAAGTGGAAGTATACTGAGACATAGTTTTAGCAGATGTTGCTGACTAGAGACGCAATGCATGCTGCAGAACTCCCTTCTTCAATCTCCTCCTTCTTGCATATAAGCTACACAAACTTCAAACAACTCACCTGGCATTCTTTTCAGCATCTAAAAGAGCTTGTGCCAAATCTTTATGGGCCTTCTCTGCTTCCTTTGTTAATTTTACATCATGTTGCCTAACCAGACATAGTTCCCTGAAATAAAAGAAATGGCTTTTATTTTTCACTTATACTTATTTCTTACTCATACTTGGAGACTTCCAAAAACATATCTACCCAGGAAATCAGGTTTATAGTCAGGCATCTTTCCAGTTATCCTACGTACCTCTCTTCTTAGTTTTTCCAACTTACAGACAAATAAAAAACTCCAGTGCACATTCAGGATGAAATATTACCAAGGTCTGGCAATCGAATCTTGCTATCTAGAGAAGTCAGTAAGATGTGGGGAATCCGCTAGGCAAGTGCTGAGAGCTATCAGGCTGTTTTACCCCACCTTCTGGCATGCCTATCTGTCCTCTTCATCCTTGCCATTAATCCCTTGCCACGAGTTAGTGATCATGGGCCTTGTTTGCTAAATATTGCTTATTCTCTATAATATTTGACCTTTAAAACCCATGGGCCCTGCCTTATAATTTAATCAAGAAAATATCTCTATCTTGGAACGAAGAGCAAGGGAATTTTCACAAACAGTTTTGTGCTAACCAATGTAACCCATTTCCCTACATTCTATATCTAATCTATTGTTGTTATGCGCCGTTGAGTCATCTCTGACTCATAGCGACCCAATGTACAGCAGAACAAAACACTGCCTGATCCTGTGCCAGCTTCAGATCCTTGCTATACCTGAGCCCATCATTGTAGCCACTGTGTCAATCCATCTTGTTGAGGGCCTTTCCCTTTTTTGACACTTCACTTTACCAAGCATGATATCCTTTTCCAGGGAATGGTCCCTTCTGACACATGACCAAAGCAGGGGAGACGAACTCTGGCCATTCTTGCTTCCAAGGAGCATTCAGACTGCACTTCTTCCAGGACAGAGTTGTTAGTTCTTTTAGCAGTCTATGGTACTTTCAGCATTCTTCTCCAACACCACAACTCAAAAGCATCAACTCTTTTTCAGTCTTCCTTATTCACTGTCCAGCTTTCACATGCATATGAGGTGACTGAAAATACCATGGCTTGGGTTAGGTGCACCTTAGTCTTCAAGGAGATTATCTTTGCTCTTCTGCACTGGAAAGAGGTCCTTCACAGCTGATGTGCCCAGTGCTATAGGTCGTGGGATATCTTGACTGCTGCTTCCACTGGTGTTAATTGTAGAACCAAGTAATATGAAGTCTTTGATGACTTCAATCTTTTCTCCATTTATTGTGATGCTTATTGTTCCAGTTGTGAGGATTTTTATTTTCTTTATGGTGAGATGTAATCATCCTTCAAACTGTAGTCTTCAATCTTCATCAATAAGTGTTTCAAGTCATCCTCACTTTCAGCAAGCAAAGTTGTGGCATCAGCATATCACAGGTTGTTAATGAGTCTTCCTCCAATCCTTATACCATGTTCTTCTTCATATAGCCCAGCTTCTCAGATTATTTGCTCAGCACACAGATTGAATAAGTATAGTGAAAAGATACAACCCTGGCACACTCCCTTCCTGATTTTAAACCATGCAGTGTCCCCTTGTTCTGTTCGAACGACAGCCTCCTGGCCTATGTACAGGTTCCTCATTAGTAAAATTAAGTGTTCTGGAATTCCCATTTTTCTCAATGTTATCCAAAATTTGTTATAATCCACATAATCGAATGCTTTTGCATTGTCAATAAAACACAAGTAAACATTTTTCTGATATTCTTTGCTTTCAGCCAAGAACCATCTGACACCTACATAAGTACTGATTTAGGTGAAGAGAAGGGCAATGTACCAAATGTGAGTGACCAATATGGTGGCATTGAAGAAGAGAGAGACATAGAGAGGTACATGGGAGGTACATACATCAAAGATGAGCCCTTCTGTACATACAGTACTGCGTTGTCAGTGAAGGCAAACATGGGTATATGGGTGGATAGATGGGTGAACAGGCTGAAATATTAGGTATGTCTATGAAGTGGGGAGTGTATCCAAGAACATGTATAGGGTTGGCAGACAATGGTTCCATAAGTTTATGTGAATAATCAGAATTCCCAGGAGTATAGTAGAGCTGACAAGGGGCAAGGTTGTGGTCACGGCTTGGTCACAGGCAGCTACCCAGAGGGACAAAGTAGTTGAACCTGTGGGCTTGGGACCATAGTCACAGGGGACATCAAGCTCAATTGGCATAACATACTATACAAAACATTGTTCCACCTCCTACTTTGGCAAGTAGC